AGAGCTCCTGACTTGAGAGGTGCCCTGGCCGGGTCTGCTGCTGGAAATCTGTGCAGAGAAAGAAAATGACAATCTATCCAGAGAATGTAAACAAAGCCCCAGCTCCCTGCAGCCTGCCCTCTGTCCCACACATGCCATGGTGCTCTGCCTCTGGCCTGGACTCTGTTTATTACAGAGAACTGTCCTAGGGATTTAGGACTCATGATCAGCTTGCCAAGATCACGGTGTGAGTGCAGTTGTGGAGGGGACATGTGCTCACAGAAGCACATGTGTCCACAGTGTTTATAGGTGCAGAATCCTCAGGCTAGGGGAGGGAGATCACGTTCTCCCTTCCCAGATGACCCACCTGGACAGACACTAAGAGGATGACAGAATCCTGGTGACACCCTGGACACCCTACAACAGGAATGGAAGTCACTGTGGAACTAAGACCTGATTCCTTAAGTTCTTTCCATTTTAGTAGCTAATACCAACACCGATTTTAACCAGCACTCCCAGAAACGTCTCTCCATTCTGCTCCATCCTTTGGACCCATCGGGGACTTCTGCAGTCTTTGTCCATCACAAGCACAAGCTAACCTCGTTTACTCTTTTTCTTTTTTTGACATTTTAGATGCTAAGCAAAGCCAGTATTAACAGACATGAATTGAGAACGTTGCTCCTTATCAATCTCTCACCAAAATGTGCTGCAGAGTCAGGATAGATTATCTCCAAAGTCTTATAAACTAGGTGAATGAGGCCAGACACACTTGGGTAGCCCTGGGCCGTTGTGGAGTCTGCTGTTCTGAGTCTTGAACACACTGGTAGCCCTGGGAGTGGGATGAAGCGTGTACTGCTGTGCAGCTGTCTAAAGGAATATGTCACATAACTAAGAACCCAGTGGGCTCCCTGGCACTCTCTGACAGAGCAATGTCTCATTTTTAGAACTTCTGGCCTGGGAACCTCCGCCCCCATTTTCCCATGAAGTCAGGGTTATTAGAAAATGTCCGTGCTGCTCCAGAGAGAAGCCACTGGCCACAAGTGGTTATTGCACATTTGAAACACAGCTGATCTCAGATGGCCCATGAGGGTCAAACCATATTAGATTTCACAGATTTAGTGTAAGAATGCACTGCATCTCATTCATATCTTTAACGTTTTATGTTAAAATTTAAAATTATTATAAAGTATGAATTACACCTTAAAATAATAATTTGGGTACATCAGGGTTAAATTAAAGATATGACTGAAGTTCACTTTTATGCTTTAACAGATGACTTCCTGACACCCCACGCTGGCAGCAGATGGACACCCCACGCTGGCAGCCACTTTCCATGTGGGCCACCAGGAGGCAGTGGAGAGTGCAGGCTAGGGACCAGGGTGCTGGTGACTTGAACCTGTTCTTCTTGTACAAACTTCAGTGTCCTGTTGTATAAGACAGGAAAGGCCATATCTGAACTGCTCATGTGAAGAGGTGACTGGTTTCTAGAACAAGCACTATGCTCACATTAAAGGGTGTGGTTTTATAAAATGAACAACATAACCCAAAAGCTGACACAAGAGAAAACTGGAGCGTAAATACTCATCAGTAGAGACCAATCAAGATGAAAGCACCCACATCTGCAATACTTCTACCTTTGTCTTGGTTCTGGCCCATTGCCACTGGCCTAGAAGCCTCTTAGGGGAAGTAGAGGTAAGTCAGAGTCCTCCAGATGCAGATTCCCCTTGTGGTTTTCTGGCTCACTTTCCTGTCACTTAGTAATACAACCTTAGGGTAATATGAACCAACCTGTTTCCTTAAGAAAGACAGTGGGACTGGAGAGATGGCTCAGCAGTTAGGAGCACTGGCTGCTCTTACAGAAGACCCAGGCTCGAATCCTAGCACCCACATGGTGGCTAACAACCATCTGTCATTCCGATTCCAGGGGATCCAATGCCCTCTTCTGACCTCCACAGGTACTGCAATGACACAGGTGTACTTACATACATGCAGGCAATATACTCATACACATAAAATTAATTAAAAAAACTTTTAAAAAGAAGGACAGTTAGGATGGCCTGCGTCCCAGAAGCTACTGCATGCTTACATAGCTTGAGATTATGTAATCTGGGGGCTGGGGAGGGAGTGGAAAGGAAACAGGACAAGGGGTCAAAGGACAGGGTTCAATCCTGGGTCAGCCATAGCTTAGGTCAAGGTCACAGAGTTCTCTAGAGGAGCCTTGGGTTCTTTACCTATAGAATGGGTAAAGATCACTGCTCAGCATAGATTGTTTGAAGAATTAAATAGTGGAGCTACATACAAACACATATATTGTGCACATATATGTATATATATATATACACACACACACACCTGTCGATCTATCTCTATCTATCTATCTATCCATCCATCCATCCATCCATCTATCATCTATGTACCTATCCATCCATCCATCCATCCATCTATCATCTATCTATGTACCTATCTTACTTGTAAATTGGAAACTCCTACACAAATATTAGCTATCAACATGACTTTGTCTGCTGGATTCCAGACTGATGGACATGAAACCATAGCTACTTTGCCCTGTGGACACAGTTACTTTTCACACAGCACGTCTTAGGATTCCCCATTTCCTCTTCTTCCCCACTTACTTTAAAGTCTCACTGGGCCAAGAGTGCTATTAATAAAAGGCACTGACAGTTCTCCAGACTCGCAGATGTCAAGCCCTGGTATTGGTTTAGAGATAAAGAAATGATTTTACTGAGAAAGAGGGTAAAAGTCTCGCTGGAAGTCAGTAATCTCTGTGCAAAGCCGCCACTGCCAAGGTAAGTCATATGCAGTCACTGAAGATAGCAGTGGTGACAGACTGAATGGAGGAGCCACTGGGGCAGCCATCTTCAGCTCCGGTCTCCTCCAGAGGAAAAGGGAGAGGAGGTCAGACGTGGTGTCCAAGGAGAGCCATGCTTGGCACAGTCTGAGAGCGACCAGGACTCGGGACAGTGTTTCTGATAAGGAGTCTCACTCTTTAACTACCAATTCTGCTCCGCACCTTAGAAAACAGTATTATTGGTAAGATTCTAGAACCAGTACTATAGATCCAGGTCCCCAAGGAGACATCAAGGGACTTCCTACCAGTTTGGTAACTCTGGCTATAAACAAAGCACATATGGACACTGCAGTGACTCAAACCCAGGTCCTCACAACCCCATAGACACAGTGCTCACGGAGGTGCTGCAGTGAAATAAACACAGATCCGTAAGCAGCTGCCTCAACAGCTAGAACTCACCTGCCTCACATTTGATCCATTATTATTTTATTTTTAAAGACTTATTATTTATGTGTACATGTATATCTGTATTTGTGCTCACATGTGTGCAGAGATAACTGAAGAGTCCAGAAGAGAGCATCAGCTCCCGTGGAGCTGGGGTTACAGGTGGTTGTAAGCTGCCCAAGTGGGTGCAGGGAACCAACCTCCAGTTCTCTAAAAGAGCAGCAAGCATTCTTAACCACGGAGCCATCTCTCCAGGCCCATTATTGTTTGTTGTTTTGTTTTGTTTTTTTTTGTCTTTTTGAGACAGGCTTTCCCTGTAGCTTCAGCTGGCCTGGCACTCCCTATTGAGACCAGGCTGTCCTGGATCTCACAGAGATCCGCCTGCCTCTGCCTCCTGAGTGGTGGGACTAGAGGGATGTGCCACCAAGCCTGGCTCCCATTATTGTTTGTTTTAAAGGGAACTAACATGCACACACGTCAGGAAGAGGAACCATGATGTACCATGGAGCAAGCAGGAAGGTGAAGAGAATGCTTGACACTGAGCTATGAGGCAGCCAAGGGAGTGCCGTCCAGAGGAGAAACAACGGAGCCTGGTCACCGAGGGGCAGCTGAGAGAGCTCTTGGCCCACCAGACTGTTTCAGCAAGCATGGTGTTGGCGCTCCAACACCACACCTAGGTCCATCCTAACTCTTTGTCTAGCCATGTTCACCTCTTACATGCCCACATCTGATGCTCATAATCCTTGTTTGTTTAGGAGCTAAATTCTATAATCTCTACAGCTGCCCATCATTTCCTGGACCATCACCAACATGCCTAGGGTTGTATTAGTAAAAACACAGGACCCTTGCACTGCAGTCTCCAGTCACACCAGCCACGCCCTCAACTCCGAGTTAGTACTGTGACTATCATCATATCATCACTATATCATTTTGAGGCAGGGTCTCCTGTAGCCCAAGCTGGCCTCAGATTCACTATGAGGCCCAAGCTGGCCTTGAACTCCTGATTTGCCTGCCTTAGTCTCCCAAGGCTAAGATTATATAGACATATGCTTGGCTCTAGACATTGTGTTTTTTTTTTTCATTAAGACTTTTACTTATTTTAATTTTAATTATGTGTCTGCGTCTGTGCAGGTGTCCGAGGAGGCTGGAGGAGGACATGACTCCCCTGGAGCTGGAGTTATGGGCAGCTGTGAGTCACCCACCACGGGTGCTAGGACCTGAACTCTGGTCCTCTGCAAGAGCAGTAAGCTCTTAGCCAGCAAATCTCTCCAGTCCCTGCGAGAGTAATTTCTAAGAGCAAAGTCACCACCACGAACAGTAAACAAACGTCACTTTGTTTCTTACCCTACACCAGACTGAGCATGAATCCTGGTCAGCCCTTTCATTTTACCTTTAGAGAACACTGCCCTCCCCAAAGAACATTATGGGATGTTTGTCAAAGTTGCGTTCCACGAATTCCTTCCTCAAGATTCAAAAAGGCCTAGGGCATACTCAACCCCCTGCAGTATTTTTCTGCCTAACTCAGCACATCCTACCTTAACTTGGCCACACTGCCCTTCTGTTTCTGACCTTTCACAGTCCATCTATTGACGCATCCAAAAACGACACACTGGGAAATACAACTTTTAACTGACAAGGGAGAAAATGAATTGCAGGGAATAATACATTGTCCTAAAGCATAAAAACCATCTCTAGGGAGAGGCAACAGCATCTTGAGTCTTTCTGGAACTGCCCAGGTTATCCAGCTACCAGGAACCTCTCTACTTACTTCAGCAGGTTCCCGAGATTGAAGAGTGCGCGGTTGTGATGCGGGTGAAGCTGGAGCGCCCTCTGGTAGTACATCTTTGCCTCAGCAGTGTCCTTTGTGAGCGTCCCAAGGTTGTTCAGGGCGCTTGCATGGCGTGGATACAACCTGAAAGATTGATTGGATGTGACAAGCCGTGACTACCCAACTGGACACCCCAGGCACACCACATTCCCCTCTAACCCCCGCCCCCCGCCCAAGTTCTTCCTCTAAGTTAGTGGTGTGTCTGTGCCAAACCTTAGGGGTCAACTGTTTAACCCTATAAATAAATATTAAGGAATATTTGAACTCAGTGGTCTAAATAAGTAAACCCCAAATACTTTGAGAGTAAATGTGGAAATCTCCCAGGAGTAAAGACATTCTCCTCCTTTAGGGCCTGTGATCACTTTCAATTTCCTGAGATCTAACTTACCCTTGGTGGGAAGTTTGGGGGGGGGCAGGGGAGGGGATACAGCTGACCAGTCCCTGGTGCAGCACCTACTGCTTACACATCATGTGGGCTTCCTTGGGGAGGGATCTTTGCAAACATCTTTGGACAAGGGCATGAGAAAGATGGCCATGACCAAGAAAGGGTGAGACGTGGTAAGACCTTCCCAAACAAACCCTCCACCCCATCCCTCTTTCCCATCTTCTCTCACGTCTTTTCCTTGCACTGCAATTTGCCTCTACCTGGATTCATACAGCTCTTAGAATCTTGAGAACTTAAACACAACACACACAGTTAATGCACAATGAAGCAAAAATCAGCATCCTTCATGCTCAAGAGAACTAGAAAGCAGGGTGGACCTGTGCAAGTAAGCTACAACCACTAACGGTAAGGACAAAGGGGGGCAGTTCAGCCCTTAATTAAGCTCAAGCCCAAGGGCATGCTCAACATACAAGGCTCACTCTACCTGCCACTCAGCGAACTTTGAATAACCCACGGGGTTGGCTCTTGATGTCCAAAAATGTCCAAAAGCCAAGATACTGTTTCCATGATAAGACTAAAATCAGTGCTTGTCGGGTCTCTTGAGAAGTGCACACTGCCCCTCATTCCAGACTTTCTAAGGGAGGCAGTTTGTCTGGGGATAGGAGGGCTCTCAATTACAGGAGGGGAGGCAGCCACACCACCTTTGTCCCTGTACCAGGAGCCTGCTCGGCCTTGTCCTCACAGAGTAGCTGTGGCATTTTCTGACAATGCTCTAAGGTGTCTCTGGACTGACCAGGGACAGCATCAATTAAATATATCTTCTCAGAGGTCATAAGCCCTTATTATTCCCAGTGGTTCTGAAAGTTGTTAGAAGAAACTTATTCTGAAGATGTCTGACCCAGCAAGAACACTGGCCAGCACATGTGTGCCAGCTGCTCCTGTCTGGGCACCTTCCATGAGCACAGATAAATGTTAAAGTCCCTGATCTGGGCTCCAGTTCTGGACACCCAGCACCACAAGTTCTGAGAGAGAGGCCTGACACTCTGTAAGAAGAGATGGCCTGTCCACAGAAGGCCAAAGATGTACCTGGACCTGCCCACTCCTTCCAAGCCCAGGAAAGCTCCTTGGAAGCTTGCAACTACAGATGACCTTGGCATGTTCACAGAACACATCATGGCCAGGGCTGAAACTCCTAAAGAAACTTGCTTTGCTAATTTTGTGTTGGACAAACAACTTTTGGGGAAATGTAAAGGTCTCAAAAGCAGAGGGCCTTTCCCATGCTGCTCTCCTCCCCATGAGTGGCAGCACAAGGCTTGGGCCTGTGCCTGCCCCGTTGAAGGAGGGTCATTTCCTATAGCTTTCACTTTTATTCCTTGAGGCTTTGAGGCCTTCATGACAAATGAAATAAAAACAGTAATGTATGGATGGTATAGAAAAGAAGCAAGTGCCTTAAGGGCCTAGCCATCTTTCCAGCTCAGGGCTGGACAGTCAATAGTCCCTAAGAGCTTCTGACCAGCTTGCCTATGTATCCTTGAAAAAATGCATTAGGGGCTGGAGAGATGCTCAGTGGTTAAGAGCAGTGGCTGCTCTTGCAGAGGACCCAGATTCAATTTCCAACACCCACATGGCAGCTAACAACAATCCATAATTCCAGTTCCAGGGGGATCCAACACCCTCTTCTGACCTCCTTGGGCATTGCATAACATGGGTGCACTTACACACATGCAGGCAATACACTCATACACATAAAGTAAAAATAATATATAAAATAATAAAATAAAATTTAAAATGTATTAGTTCTACTATTTATTTATTCCATTATTTATTTATGCATATGAGTGTTTTGCCTCTCTGTATGTAAGTACACCCGTACATTCAATGCCCATGGAGGACAGATGAGGGCATCAGATTCTCTGGACTTGGAGCAGCACAGGGAGTTCCAGGACAGCCTTTGCTACTCAGTGGCATCTTATTTCAAAAAGCAAAAACAAAATTTTAAAAAAAGTAAAATTGAGTCTGATTCTGTGAGTTGAAGACAATTTTTCCCCAATTTGAACAATCTAGATTTCAGTAAACATAGCATAAAGATTTTGTTATCAAAAGGCATCTCTTTTTAAGAAAGATTTATTTTTATTTATGTATGTGTGTGCCCACATGCATGTGTGTGGAGGAGGATGGAGAGGAAGCAGGTGTGTGCACTTGTGTGCGTAGGTACCTGTGGAGGCTACAAGAGGGCATCGGATCCCTTGGAGCTGGAGTTATAGGCAGTTGTGAGCTGCCATGTGGGTGCTGGAACCCAAACTCAGTCCTCTGCAAGAGCAGCACATGCTGTTAACTGCAGAGCCATCTCTCCAGGCCCCAAGAGGAATTTAAGAAAATTAATAAACAGGTTGTCAGGACACCTGTTCCCTTCCAACCCAGACCAATAAACAGGTGATCAGGACACGACTCCCTTTCAGCCAAGATTAGTAAACAGGTGGTCAAGATGCTGCTCCCTTCCATCCCAAACATCTGGTCTCTGAAGAACACCAACACTACAGAGATCAGAGTCACTGAAGGGAACAGGGGTTAGGAATGAGATGAGGATGGAGAGGATGGAGAGAAGGATGGAGAGAGCAGCCCCAAGGGCTGGTGCAGATGGCTTTTTATGACTTTGAAGTGTTTTCTTATTGAGGAAAGGGAGGACGATTACACACATACACACAAGCATACATACATATAGACATAACATAGACATACACACATATACACACATATATACATACACACATATATTATACAGACATACACACCTACACATAACACAGACATTCATAGACACACACATACAAACATACATACACATATACACACATACACATAACACAGACTTACACACCTATACACACACATATAGAAACATACACAAATATACAAACACACACTGTACACACAAGCACACACACACACACACACACACACAAACACACATGCACACCCAGAAACATCTCAGTAACACTTGTGCTCTTAAGTGTTAAGAAGGCAAATGACGCCTGTCATTCTATTTGTTTAGACAATAATACTAAGCCAGTCAACCAAGCGAACTGCTATAAATTAGAGCTTCTGTTTAGAATAAGTTCTTTTTTATTTCTCCCAAGCAATTCATTTAAATTATGATCTTATAAGAACTAATTTTCAGAGGAAGAAGTGAAATCAACTCACTCAAAGAACTTGGCTTCTGAGAATCAATCTTTTAAGCTGTCTTGTCCTAAAACCCTCATGGTATCACCGAGAAGCACAGATCATACGGGAAGTCCTTAGAGTCAACAATACTCGGTTACCTGTAAGACGGGAACACCTACTTGTTGAGATATTGTGTGCTAGGTTGTTTTTGGGTGTTTGTGCACATGTGAGATATATGTACACATGTGTATGCAGCTGTGCATGCGCCTGTCATAGGAGGAGGCCAAAGGGGATGCAGGATGTCCTGCTCTATCACTCTCTGCCTCATTTCTTTGAGACAGGGTCTTTCACTGAACCTGGACCTAGGCTCATGGCCAGCTGTCTCCACCCCTCATGGCGCTGGGGTTAAGGGCATGCATGATCAGCTGTGCCTTAATTATGTGGGTACCGGGATCTGAACTCAGGTCCCATGCTGCTCCTCAACACTCCAACACACTGAGCCATCTCTCCAGCCCATCTGTAAGCTCTGACCCCAAGCCAAGGCCTATGGACACAAATTTTTGGGACTAAAGTTTGGGTCTGTTTATTTTGCAATTTTCATGGTTTGTTCAAAAGTGAAGGATGTTACACATTTTTGACAGTTTCAGGACATTGCACATTATTTCCCTGTTCAAATAATATCGAGTCATGTCCCACAGTTTGTACCTTCTTCCCAGAGTATATACACCCTGACTGAGTTGTCCAACTTTCATTCAATACCTTAATTTATTTGAGGTTAACTACCTTAATGCCAGATGTTTATTTTCTAATTCTTTTTGAGGATAAAAATATAATCCCAAAGAAAGACATAAATAGGAAAAAATTCCTCTATAAAAGCTCTGTTTCATTGGACTACCATATACACAAAACAAACCATTTCAGAAGTTGGCAGTTGACAATGAACCCCAGCATATTTTAAGTTCCTGGTTGCTTTTGTGCCATAAGTTCAAACCATCACGTCATTAATGACACTTAGGCAAGACTAATAATTTTATTGGCTTATTGACTTGCTTTTTGATTGTTTGAAATGACTATCAACACTTTAGGAAGTAGGTTTTTCTGTCTTTTCTTTTTCGGCACTATCCTCCTGATCCATTGAGGATAGTCTCAGGGGCAAAATCTCAAACACATCTTAGGGAGAGGCTGAATTGTGGTGACCTCTCACCTCGACCTCAGGGCTTATGGGGAGGAACTCCACCCAGGAGGTCTGCCAAGGCTCTGTAGAGTGAAAACACTTTCCATATCCTCAGGAAGTGAGTCAGTTGTAAAGGGCTGTATTCCAGAGAACTCACTTCCAGAGGCTGGGAAAGTCCTGAACAAACACTCCTCTGGTCTTTGCAGCAGGAGTGAGGTGACAAGAACCTATAGTTTCACAGAGCCTGGGGTAAGCATGGTGAACTTTGGATGTAGTAGCTTAGTGGACAGGAAACTGCCTGGTCCATGGGAGATATAACTGGGCTTGGAGCTAGAAGTCAGTTGTGGATGCTGAACACGTCTG